AGACCCTTTTCTGATGAAGGGTCTAGGCCCGAAACGTCAGCCTCTCTGCTCCTATGATGCTGCTTGGCCTGCTGTGTTCATCCAGCTCTGCACCTAGTTATCATGAATCCTAATTGATCAAGTTTGTGACCTGCCATCAAAGTTGATCCTAACACATTAGAAACTAGGGCTGAGGGGGTAAAGATTTTTATCTTAAGAGTGCGCCATTTCATTAGATTGAGGAACATGACTGTGTCTAGCAAAGAAAAATCTGAATCTGAGGATAAAGCAAGTGAGCTGATGTCAGAAAACTTACTGTCCTCTGTGTTTGAGACAGATCCCATCTTTGCCTGAAACCTGCGCAGTATTAAGATTGTTGTATATGCACAAGTGTTTGTGGCTTGAATATTACATTTTTTTTATTTCTTCTTCCTTCATCAATAAAAGATCTTGGAGAAGGCAGCGGAGATTGCACGAAGCAACGACACCCTAAGCACATCAGTAAGTAAAATGCAAGTGTAAGAATGAGCAAGAGCGTGCTATGCTGCCATCTAGTGCTTGTTATTTATGTAGCATTAACATCAATATTAACCTCTTAAGCTGGCACTGACCCATTTAATAGGTATGTCGTATATATAATGTAGTCAATATTATATAGACATGAAATTAACAAAAAAAATCTAAGCTTTGTAGATCTGTCATAGAACAAGAAATTGGAATACAAGCCAATATGCAGCTTCACAGAGATCTTGTAATTTAACTCAAATTGAATCTATATGTCGTCTATATTGTCTACTTTGGGATCAAAAATGATTCATGATTTGATAGGGGATTTTCTGAAGGTGAACAGGGTGAGCAAGCAAACACTGAACACACTACTCCATTCTAACCCCAATCATTCAAGTTTGATTTGCAATAAAAGAAATAGAATTGTCCAGTAATATGAATTAAGGAAAGCAAACCGAAATCTTGCATTTTTAAAAAATTAATGATTTTCAAACTTTGAGTAGATTGTAATATGACATGAATCTTTCACAGCCACTTTTGAACTTTCATCTGTAATGTCTATCATAAAATCAATGACAGCAGTAATACAGCTCTTTTACAGCTTGTTTAATTCACACAATCTGTGATGTCTGACTCAGTGCTGTCTGAGGTGGCACACAGGAATCATGACCTTGACTCAGATACAATTCTCTGTGGGTTTTTTCTTTCTTGCTGCTGTGCCCTTTCTAGTAAGTCATGTCAGACAGAACAGACTGAGGAGTTGGTTGCCTTCCCTTCCTCAGGAAGGGCATGGAGCTGTAAAAGCGAGAATTCTTTTTAATAAGCTTTACATTCCACAGCAAATAAGTTGCTGATATGCTGCACTGTAGTATAGCTGTAATGTGAAGTGGGGAATGAATACTGGATAAAAATTTTAAATTGGAAACTCTAAGTAGGAGACCGGGAATTGGTGTAGTTCACTGAGCACAGGGATGATGGGTGAGCAGGGTTTGATGAGAGTTTGCATGTGGACAAGAGAGCTTGAACGAGCTTTAGCTTAAAGATGATGGAAAATGGGAACTGGTGAGGAAAGCATTGGAATAGCAATTTCTGGCAGTGACAAAGAGATGTGTGAAGGTTTCTGCAGTGGACAGCAGAAGCCAAGATGGAAATAGAAGTGGGCAGTTTTTAATCAGGAGAAAACAGAAGCCTAAGATTTAGTTTAGGGTCACTTTGGATGCTGAAGGGGTGGACCATTTGGTTCAACAAGCACAGTGGCTGTAGAAGGGGAGCTGAGTCGACGGTGAAGCAATGGATATTTGGGCCGAGATTAAAAGTGATGCCTTTGGTCTTCCAGATAGCAATTACAGGTCATCCAGCAGGTGACGTCAGCCAAGCAGCATGAAAAAACTGACACTGGAGCTGCTGAGAAAGAAATGGAGAGATGTAGATGGATTTCATTAGCATGCATGTAGAAAAATGTAGTGGAGTCTTTAATGTTTTTTCAGGCAATATTGCTGAGGGCAGCATACAAACAAGGGTCAAACAGTTCCTCAACAAGCTCCAGAGATAACAATGCAGCAGCAGGAAGAGAATACACTGCTGAAGGTGCTTTAGCTCTGCTTTGTAAGGTGAGTTTGGAATTAAGAAAGATTGGTTCCACTGAGCTGAAAAATGAAGGAGAGAAGATACCTCATTCATTCGTTGGCTGCAGACTGGATGACCCGTGTCCTAGAAAGGCACCCAACCCTTAAGAAGCTACGTGAATAGGTGAGGAGCCTGGTGTGAGAAATTGAGCGAAGAAAGTTGGTGCAGCAAGGAGTGCTTTTGAGGTTAGGGCTAAGTGGCTTTGTTAGAGCTGGTGGAGATCTTTAGTTTGACCATTATCTTGCTGGATATAGAGAATGCATGCCACAAATGAAAAGTGCCCCATGATCGGTATCTTTTTAAGCTAATTTGGCAAAAACACAACTAAAATTACTTGATTTTAAAAATGGGTGGAATTTGACAGCTCTTTGATTATATAGCTGTTTTCTCTCCATCAGTGGGACAGATCATAAGTATCAGCTGACAGCAGAAACAAAGATCTGTTAATGGCATCTTTTCTCTGCAGGAAGGCACCCCATTTCCTGCTGGAACAAATGAGGCCAAACCATCATAATTGTCTCTGTAGGTGAAGTTTAATTAGAATCCTGGCTTCCTATGTTGAAATCCAATTCTCGTGTGTGATATTTCAAGGTTTTAATTTTGTTTTCAGAAACGTCAATGTTGGCAAAACAATTCAATTTGCACTTCAGATGACCTTTCAAGTAACTGGTAACCATTCCTTCATTCAGGGTCGAGGATGGAAGAAATTACATATTGAGCTAAGAGAAATCATGGAACGAGATCCATTATCACAATTGTGTGAAAATGAGATGGATTTAATATGGACCCTACGATATGATTGTCGTGAAAACTTTCCTCAGTCACTGCCCAAACTGCTGCTCTCAGTAAAGTGGAATAAACATGAAGATGTGGCACAGGTATATCTATCAAACTTGGCTTCTCGCTTCAGATTTGTTAATATTTTGGTGTCTGGAATGAAAAAACATCTATTTCTAATGATGTTTAAAAACATTGTAATGAATTCCTTCTGTTGTGCTTCATTTAACTGTTGCATTGTGATGCTTTTTGTAATGAATCTCCATTAACCCATTTACTTGACTTGCCACGTCTACTCCCCGTCACTACCATTGCACTACTGCTGCTATGTTGGGAGTATGTGTGTGGAATGAAGTGTGAAGTTTCCTGTATCCTGTGTAAAAGCTCATGAAGAGGGAGTATGTTTAGTCACTGCTGCAGACAAGCTAACATTAGTCATGAATGACGAACATAGCAAATCCACAAAAATTATTTTGACAATGAAAGCAGCTTGAAATTACTTAAACTAGTTTATGAAAGAGATAACTTGCAACATGTTGCACATCTAGCTACCATATCTCGCTTCACAGTCAGTGAAATGTAGTTACAGCTATAATGTGGGCAAGTAGGCAGTCGACTGGTGTAGAGCATGTTAGAACAAGCTGTGGAGGAATAAATGACCAGTTCATTTGGCTTGATGATTTATGCTTAAGGGTGAAATATTGGTTGGATACCAAGAGAACTCTATCTCAAATAGCTCCATCATACCTTTTACATCTATCAGAGAACACAGAACCTTAATTTTCTGCCTTATGTAACAAATGACACTTCTGGCAGTGTAGCCCCTCCTCCTTCCTACTGCAATGAGGTCTCAGCCTGAAATATGCCTTCCAACTGAAATATGTGTCTTACACTTGGAACATCACAATAGCTGATCAAATTTCAACGTTATTGGAGAAGGCTTCTACAAAATTGCATGCAATTCGTAAAATGCAATTTTGTTTCAGCATTGGGACCATGACACTTGCTTTTTTTTTGAACAGTATACACAACTTTCTCCTGTGCTCTTCTTTGAGCAACACGCCAACCTGTTTTCTTATTAGTTTATTTTAAATTTGTTTACATTGACCTCATTTTAATAAACATCTAACCGTTACTTTCATGTCTTGCATCAAAACTCTGTTAGGGCCCAGATCTCTCTCAAAGGTACTGCTAACACAATTGGACAGCACTACCACTGCTCAAAAAAAAAGCTGCATTTCTAAATAAAATACATTTGATCTTCAGTGTTTCTTCAAGATAAAACTGCATTGCCCCGAGGTCCTCCTTCCTTCTTGTCACTTTGGTGTTTGCCAGCCAAAAAACAAAAATGACAATAACAGGAAACTACTGAGTTAAATGTTTTACAGTAAGATACTGTAGTTTTGGATCACTGAGAAAATTCCACACTAAATCTTAAAGGAAACCTTTCCGGTGACTTTCTCTTCTAATAAAATTGTTACAATTTATTAGTTTTGTTATCTTTGATCTGTATCTCTGATTTTAACTGCTTCCTTTCTACTTGTTCATTTTTATGAACTGACAATATAAACAATTATGAATATTTATTGCACTTTTGCAGGGCCTCATGCTGCAGATAGCCAACAGCATGCTGTATAAAGATGGATCCCAGTTTAGGAATGTTTGCAGATAGAATCCTTGGACATTAATTTAATGCACTGCCCGAGGTGAATTTGGTGTAGGATGGGGAAAATCTTGCCTTCCTGTCATTGTCACAATTATGTCTGGCCCATGAATGTTTGCAGACTATCTTCTTGCCCTTTCGTCAACTGGGAGCCTTATTTATTGCCCCCTTCAGGACCTCATTCTGCCTTCTCCAGAATTCAGCCAGCAGAGGGCAGGATAGCTATCAAATGGCATGCCTGAGCAGCAAACTGTCAGGGATTGACAGAGGTGGGGTGTTGTGCCTGACCAAGGAACCCAACATCAGGAACGTGTGGGGATGTCGGAAGGTGGACACCATTCAGAACACCACGCCCCCTCCTCTTCTGACCCATTGTTCTACACCTGCACTCCCTGTGGCCTGGATCCCCTGCTGATGCTGGGCCCATGTTACTGCCACTGTTCTCCTGTTGGGGCTGTTAACAGCAAGGAGCTGCTAGCCTTTAATTTGCTGGCACCACTCTGCTTCTGAGGCTCTTGATCCTGGGGAAGGTTCACTGCTGGTCGCACCAGGGCCTGATTGGTACTTAGTACGATAGGCCTGCCCCACAAGAGGTAACATGGGATTTCCATGAGGCGGCATGGTGGCTCAGTGGTTAGCACTGCTGCCTCACAGCGCCAGGGACCCAGGTTCAATACCATCCATGGGCGCCTGTCTGTGTGGAGTTTGCACATTCTCCCCGTGTCTGCGTGGGTTTCCTCTGGGTGCTCCGGTTTCCTCCCACAGTCCAAAGATGTGCAGGCTAGGTGGATTGGTCATACTAAATTGCCCATAGTGTTCAAGGATGTATAGATTAGGCTCAGTGTGGACTTGTTGGGTTGAAGGGCCTGTTTCCACGCTGTAGGGATTCTATGATTCTTTCCATTCAAGCTATTTTCTGGATTAAAGTTTGCCTTTCGTATCCAGCTTGCTACTCTCCAATATTAGCATGTATGAAATTATTGAGTTCTCTGTTTGTTTATCCTAGTAGGTTTCAGGTATTCCACTTGCTGAGTCAACAGCCTGTTATGATGTAGCAACAGGATTTTAGACAAGATCCAGCACACTTTTTTTTCTGCATGAGTGCTAAATATCCATCTATGAGTTGGTCAGCATCCAACTTTGCAGTTACTGTTTTTCCTCCTCTTTCTGTCAGTGGTTTACCTTGACATGAGGGCATTGATTCCTTTTTAAGATGCACTTCAGCTCTCCCAAATGGCTATGCTCTTTAATCAGCTCCCTGCAAGCTTAATGGCTCCTAAGCCCAATCTGGTCCTCAGTCAACATTCGCTAATGCTTACACTTAGTCGGGGCCAATCACTGGAAATCTGGAGCATAAACCCTGACTTATCATTCTTTTATCTCTCCCCAGTTCTAAGGTATTGAAGTTAGTAATGGGCCACCTACTGCTACCCTGTGGCAATCCAGTATCTCAGCAAAAAGTGCCCAATCAAACTTCCTTGGTCTGGACAGATCAACTACCCATCACTTAAGCTATTGATTTATATGGAAAATTCTGACATTAATTGAAATTACTCAAAATGGTACATAGCTTGGGTAACCTTTTTTGATTTCTGTTCGACATCACCCGTTTGCCCAATTTTATTTTCCAATCAGAAATGTTTGTAACAGATGATCGATTCAGCATCACTCAAACCAATAAGCTGCCAAGCTAAAGGTAAGCAGAAACAAGGCCTCTTGCTTCTATTTCATGTTCAATTAGCTCATATCTGTTTAATTATACTCTGTTTTCCTGCCTTTGATCCCGATTCTCAGATGACAAATCTGATTTAGGCAATCTCAGTTCTGATAGTTGTCCTGGCCTCCATAACTGTTTGACAGAGGATTTCACACTTCCATGACCCTTTGTGTGAAAGGTATTTCTTGGTTCCACCCAAAGCAGAGTTAATGTGGTGGGTTATTTTGACCCTTAGTAAGGGGCATTTCAACCTGAAACATGAACTTTCTTTCACTCCAGAGATGCTGTCTGATCTGCTGAGTGTATGTTTTCATTGCAGTCTATATAATCCATCCTTATAATTGAAGCAATGTAAAGTTAACTAAACATAAAAGCTGGTAACAGTCAGCAGTTTAGTCAAAACATTTCGTGAGGACGGATAACTGTTTGTGACATGACCTTCTTCAAAATGGAGGAAAGTTTTGGGACTGCCATGTTATTATCAGAAACCTTGAGAATTTACTGTTGTCCTCAGAAAGGAAAAATCAGCCAGAGATCCTACTGTTTTGTTAATGTCATTACTGGTCCATGCACATATGGACAGAATGTGAGGACCGAATCAGACTTAACTGTGGTACCCTTCCTGGGTGAATAGCCTTCTTAGACTACAGTGGATACTCTCACATAATATAATTTCCATGAGGTGTCAGAGTGCTTATCTTGGAGTTGCAAATCAGTAAGAATTTGATTTGATTTTTTTTTATTGTCACATACTGAGACACAGTGAGAAGTGTTGTATTGTGTGCTAACCAGACGTATCATACCTTACACAAGTACATCAGGGTAATAGAACAGAATGCAGAATATAATCTTACAGCTACAGAGAAGGTGCAGAGAAAGATCAACTCTAATACATGAGAAGTCTGTTCATAAGTCTGATGGCAGCAGTGAAGAAGCTGTCCTTGAATCTGTTGGTACGTGTTTTCAAACTTCTATATCTTCTGTCTGATGGAAGAGGGTGGAAGTGAGCATAACTGGGGTGGGACAGGTCTTTGATTATGTTAGCCACTGTCCCGAGGTAGCGGGAAGTATAGACTGAGTCAATGGAAGGAAGGCTGGTTTTTGTGATAGCTTGGGCTGTGTTCACAGCTCTGTGTAATTTCTTGCAGTCTTGGGCAGAGCACTTGCCAGACCAAGCTATAATGCATCTGGTAAGGATGCTTTCTATGGTGTATCTAAAAAATTTTAAGAATCATTGTGGACATGCCAAATTTCCTTAGCCTTCTGAGGAAGTCGAGGCATTGGTGTGCTATCTTGACTGTGTAGTGTTGACATGGATGGACCAGGATAGATTGTTAGTGATATTTACTCCTAGGAACTTGAAGCTCTAGACCACCTCCACTTCAGCATCATTGATACAGACAGGGGCGTGTCCTCCACTCTGCTTCCTTAAGTCGATGACCATCTCTTTCATCTTGCTGATGTTGGAGAGATTGTTGTCTTTACACCCTGCCTTAAGCTGCTTGTCTGTTTCCTGTATTCTGTCTTACTGTTGTTTGGGATCTGACCCACCAAGGTGGTGGTCATCAGCAAATTTGTAAATGGAATTAGAGCTGAATTTGGCCACACAGTCGTGAGTATATAAGGAATATAGTAAAGGGCTGAATACGCAGCCTTGTGGGGCACCAGTGCTGAAGATTATTGTGAAGGTGTTGTCACCTATCCTTACTGATTGTGATCTG